CAAGAAGACACAAGTTAGATATAGAAAAACAAAGATTGGCAAATGAAACTGAATTATCTCGATTGGAGTTAAAGCGGCTAGAAGAAGAGTTAAGATTAAAGGCAGAAATAGCTGTAAGTGATGCGAGAGCAAAGGTCATAGACGACTTTGAACAGTATGAATATGGGTCAGAGGTCAAGTTTAAACCTGACATTACAACAAATGTAAGCACCCCTCTTAATGATGTTCTCACTGATATTAATGCTGTTAAACACAAGTGTATATACACCCAGCCACAGCGTGAGTTCAACACCTTATTAACTCCAAATAAATCATCATGTCAACAACCACTTGCATCCCCTAATCATGGAAATGGTAAGGTTGAAGTTGATGTTTTATCAAAACTTGCTGATTTGTTAACTAGTAGACAAGATGATCTTCCTAGGAAGGAACCAGAAGTTTTTAGTGGCAACATATATGATTACCCAGCGTGGATACGATCCTTTGAGATCCTGATTGAAGATAGGAAACCGTTGGCCACAGATAGGTTGTATTACCTCAGAAAGTATACAAGTGGTGAGGCTAAAACAGCAGTACAAGGTCTACTGACTTTAGACACCACTGAGGCCTACATTAAGGCAAAACAAATCCTAGCTGAGCGCTATGGTAATCCACTGATGGTCGCTGACACCTACAGAAAGAAAATAAATGACTGGCCATACATCAAGTATGGTAACAGTATTGAGTTAAGGCGATTTTCTGATTTTCTTCAGCATTGTCAGTCTGCAATGAATACAGTTAACTACCTTGTGGTTCTGAATGATCCCGAAGAGCATAGAAAAATACTTCGAAAGCTACCAAAGTCAATAGGTGAAAAGTGGTTAAGAATTGTTGATGGCTGTTTGACCGATCCTCTAAACCAGTCATATCCTTCCTTCTCTCAGCTTTGTAGTTTCATTAGCAAAGAAGCACGTATAGCTTGCAGTCCATTGAATGTGAATTATGATGACAGCAAGACAGAAACAAAGACGAGAAGTGGTAAGAAATGGACAGCTACTAAGAGTTTGGCAACAGCAACAGGAGAAACAAAGAATACTCAAGGAGACTCAGCCACTCAGACTGGCTTCACTGGTAACCTGAAACGATGTGTATTGTGTAAAGAAACACATGATTTGGTGTACTGTAAGCAATTTCAAAGAATGACATTGAAGGATAGATATGCCACAGTGATAAAACATGGTTTATGTTTAGCCTGTTTTAAATGGAGACACAGAAGATGTGATTGCCGAAATAAGATGTGTGATATCTGCAAGTGATTACACCCAACCCTTCTACATGACTACTCTTATAATGCCATCAGAGATCCAATAAATAATGAAGATGTCTCTGTTGATACGAGTCCTAGGTTGGAATGTGCCACTTCACACAGAGTCGAGATAGATCACCAGAGGGATTCCTCTTTACCATGTTCCCATTCTCTTATAATTCCTGTTTTCCTGCACCATAAGAGCGTACCTAACCAACAAGCCACTGTTTATGCTCTGTTGGATCCTCAGTCTGACTCTTGTTTTATTACAAAATCTATGATGGAGAAGATAGGCGTAAATGGTCCAAACATTCAAATAAAGTTATCAACGATGCTGGCCGAAAAGGTAATTGAGTGTAACAAGATAGATGGACTAGTTGTTATGAATATGGACCGTTCCATAAATATTGCCTTACCAGCAGTCTTCTCTCGAGAATGTATACCTGCCAGTCACAGCCAAATTGCAAGGCCTGATACAGTCAGCAGATGGCCACATCTTATGCAAGTTTCCAAGTATTTACCTCCTTTCAGAAAGGATATTGAGATTGGTCTTCTGATTGGTATGAATTGTCCTCGTGCTTTGAAACCCAGGGAGGTCATACCTGGCGATGATGACGATCCCTATGCAGTTAGAACCGATCTTGGCTGGGGCGTCATTGGTGTAATGAATAGTCCAGATTATGATCTGAGTAGCTACTGTCAAGTGATAAATACTGAAGGTAAAAGATGTCACTTCACCTACCGAACCCAAGTCAAGGAGATTAGCCCCTTACAGGTCAATAAAATGTTTGAGCAAGATTTCAACGAAAGGAAGTCTGAAGACAAGATATCTCTGGAGGATAGACAATTCCTACAAATTGTTACAGATGGAATTCACCAAAGAGAAGATGGCCATTTTGAAATGCCCCTCCCATTCAGAGAACCTGAAATCAGTCTTCCTAATAGCAGAGCTCAAGCAGAGAAACGTTTACAAAGGTTGAAGTACAGGTTACTAAAGGATGACCAGTTGAAGACAGACTATGTTGAATTCATGAGTAATATTATAGATAGTGGTTATGCTGAAGCAGCCCCTCATGATAAAGAACATGATAATGATTTGAAATGGTACATCCCCCACTATGGTGTTTACAATCCCAACAAGCCAGGGAAGGTCCGAGTTGTGTTCGATTGTAGTGTTGAATATCAAGGACAAGTGCTTAATCATCACCTACTTCAGGGCCCAGACCTCTTAAATAACCTGACTGGTGTTCTGTGCCGTCTCCAAAAGGAACCTGTGGCAATTATATGTGACATTGAAGCCATGTTCATGCAGGTCGGTGTTGATATTAAGGATCGCAATTATTTGGGGTTTCTTTGGTGGAAAGATGGTGACCTAACCCAAGAACCTTCAGAATACAGAATGACTGTTCACTTGTTCGGTGCGACATCATCCCCAGCATGTGCAAACTTTGCATTGAAAACTACTGCAGATGTTAATGAAGATGAATCTAATCTAGAAGCAGCAGATTTTGTGAGGAATGACTTTTACATGGATGATGGACTCAAGTCAGTTCCTGATCCCACCCAAGCTATCAATCTGATCGAAAGTTGCTCACAGTTGTGTGCCAAGGGAGGATTTAAGCTCCACAAATTTGCTAGTAATGATAAACGAGTTGTCGAGAATATCCCTGTTGATCTGAGAGCCAAGGATATTCAGAGCTTTGATATTTGTCATGATAATCTTCCAGTGGAAAGAGCACTTGGTGTGTATTGGTGTTTAGAGTCTGATATTTTTCAGTTTCGAATCAAGATAAAGGATAAACCCTTCACCCGCAGGGGTATATTGTCTACTGTTAGCTCGATTTTTGATCCCCTTGGTTTGGTCTCTCCAGTTTTGCTTATGGGGAAAAGGATTTTGCAAAGATTAACCAAGGATGGAATGGATTGGGATGATCCAGTCCCGGAAGATACAAGATCGCAATGGGAAAGGTGGAGGCATGAGTTGTCTCTTTTGGCTTGTCTCAAGGTGCGTAGGTGTTACAAAGGTGATGATATTGTTGAGCTTAGTACAGTTGAGATGCATCATTTTTCTGATGCTAGTCTTCTCGGCTATGGTCAGTGCAGTTACCTGAGGCTACAAGATAATCAGGGTAATGTTTCTTGTTCTTTAGTGATGGCCAAGTCTTGAGTAGTTCCTGTGAAACCAATCACCATACCAAGGTTAGAGCTTACGGCAGCAGTCACTTCTGTGTTGGCGAGTGAGTTCTTAAATAAGGAACTGAAGTATGATGGTATTTCTCATTTCTTTTGGTCAGACAGCAAGGTTGTATTAGGGTACATTGCAAATAAGTCTACCCGCTTTCACATATTTGTAGCCAATAGGGTACAGAAAATTCAAGATCATACACAGCCAAGTCAGTGGAGATATATTGAATCAAAGAAGAACCCAGCGGATATTGCTTCAAGAGGTTCCAGTGCAGATGATTTAATCCATAATTCTATCTGGTGGAAAGGTCCAGTACTTCTATCCACAGTAGAATCTCAGAGCTCTACATCGAAGACAGAGCCATTTATGCTTGATAATGCAGACCCAGAGATTAAGAAGACGGTATCAGTTCTGCATACAAGCACCATACCAGATGAATATGAAGATATGCTGAGTAGAGTAGAGTACTTTTCTGACTGGCATCGATTAAAGAGAGCCATAGCAGTTTGTTTAAGATTTAAACAGAGGTTAATAGACCACAAGATTTCAAAACCGAAAGTACACTTGATGAATTCAGCAACGATTAAACAAAACTACATTCCCGTGAATGTGGATGAGATGCAACAGGCTGAAAAGCTGATTATCAAAATGGTACAGAGCAGAGACTTTGCCGATGAGTTACAGACGTTGAGACACAGAGTTCAAGAATTACAAGTCTTGCCAGGGAGAATTCTAGATCAGTACCAACTGTGAAGAAGACAAGCTCATTATTCCGACTAGATCCCTACCTAGATGAGGAGGGAATTATACGTGTAGGAGGAAGGATTCGTAGAGCTAACCTTCCAAAGGATGTTGCCCACCCTATTCTACTTCCTAAGAAGGGGCATGTTACAAAGGTCTTAATATTACATTACCATGAGAAAATCGGTCATTCAGGCACTGGAATGACGCTTAATGAGATACGAGCTTATGGTTATTGGACAGTAGCATCTAGAGCAAGCGTAGGAAGTGTTGTTTGGAAATGTGTAACTTGTAGAAAGTTGCGTGGGTTGTTGTCGGGTCAGAAAATGTCTGACTTGCCAGTTGATAGGCTAGAGACTGTCGCCCCCTTTACATATAGCGCTGTTGATTGCTTTGGCCCATTCTTTGTTAAAGATGGTAGACGTGAGTTGAAACGTTATGGAGTATTGTTCACTTGTTTAAATTCATGAGCAGTTCATATAGAGGTAGCAAATTCTCTTAGTACTGATTCCTTTTTGAACGCACTTCGTCGTTTTGTTGGTCGCCGAGGTCCAGTGCGACAACTCAGAAGTGATCAAGGCACCAATTTTGTTGGAGCTAAAGGTGCCCTGGCTGCAGCGTTAGCAGAGATGGATGACAGTAAGATCAGTAGAGAGTTGTTAAAGGACAACTGTGACTGGATAGCCTTCAAAATGAATTCCCCACATTCGAGTCACATGGGAGGAGTGTGGGAAAGGATGATTCGGTCAGCTCGGAATGCATTATCCGCACTTCTATCTGTTCATGGTCATCAATTGGATGATGAGTTGTTGAGAACATTAATGGTAGAAGCCGAGGCTATTGTGAATAGCCGTCCCCTCAGTTATGACGATATGACCAAGACAAGTTCTCTACAACCCCTTTCTCCTAGTCAGATACTGACGCTGAAATCGAAGGTTGTTTCACCTCCCCCTGGAGTTTTCCAGAAAGCAGACCTTTTCTGTAGACAGCGTTGGAGATGTGTCCAGTATCTATCTAATGAGTTCTGGAGACGATGGAGAGTCGAATTTCTACCAACCCTACAACAGAGATCCAAATGGATGAAGTCCCAACCAAACCTACAAGAAGGTGATATCGTCCTGATGTTGGATGAGAGTTTACCAAGATATCAATGGCCAATGGCCAGAGTAATTGAGACATTTGTGGGACAAGACGGACTTGTTCGGAGAGTTAGGCTGATCGCTAAAGGTTCTGTGTACGATAGACCTGTACACAAGTTAATATTGTTATTAAAAAGGGATATCCCCGTCGAGAAGCCATAGTTATTATATTTAATTAGATATCATTGGATAAATGATAAATTGTTACCAATTTAGGGGAGCCATGTAACTCCTGCGGAGTGATGTCTATTTGTTTTGCGCTTTGGCGCTGTTTAAGTGCTGTTTTACCTTCTGGTGCATAGCGCCCTCTGGGGTTGAAGGTCTCCAGCGAAGATTAAATAGTTATGACGCAGTTGCAATGTGCGTCCACTTTCTCTAGTTTTTCATGACTATTAGCTGTGACCCGGAAACGAGGTATGATTTTATAGTTTTTTGAACATACACCGATTTCAGTCGATATGATTTTGTGTAATTTTGAAGTCTTTTGCAAGAGAAATCGAGAGTTTTCTGATCGTGAACCCGAGTGGTATAAAATGGTCGTGTTGTGTTGGTCTGACCTATGACCCCAATTCGTTCACACTTGTATTAGACGTTGATGGCGTTTTACCGCACTATCTCATTCAGAATAATATGTTATTGTATTTGTGTACTTAAGATTGTTATTGTTTTATTTTGCTTCACAGTTTTACGTGATTGTGATTGTGATTGCCAATGTGAACTGTGATTAAGGACCACATGACTGATTTATCGTGATTCATGTGAATAAGTTGAACACAGTGAAGAGTGAATAAAACGATATATTGGTGATATAGAACTGAGTGACTTGTCAATATCTTAATCGACACTCATCATATAACACAGTAAAACTCGCCCGTTGGACTATTGAAAGTCATGGCAAGTGGAAAAGACACGCAATATGTGAGTAGATTTGGTAGGCCCGTAAGGATGACAGAGAAGGGCTTCCAGTATGAATCCCAACAGAAACAGAAATTATACGAGACATCTTATAACCAGCTACACCTTAAGATGGATGAAATTTATAGGATGCTGAATGCTAAAGAGAATGCCAGGTTGGTACATAGGCATTATAAGAAGTGGTTACTACTGTCAGAATGGTTCAGTCTCTCTGAACAGAAATACATAGAGTTGTTAAGTGAGAATGAATTGCCTCAACATGATCAATTATTTTCTGAGCAAAGACAAAATATGGAGATGTTTAAAACTGCTGTACAAGAATACCTGGCCGCATTTGAAGAAGTTAGTTCCTTCACAGAGGATGATGAAAAGTGCGACTCGCTTTCTCAGACAAGCAGGTGTGGTAGTCTCTCATCCTTGCAGTCTAACACCAGTCTAATGAGACTAAAAGAAGAACAACGTAAAGCTGAGTTAGCCGCAAGAATGGCGGCATCACAAGAAAGACACAAGTTAGATATAGAAAAACAAAGATTGGCAAATGAAACTGAATTATCTCGATTGGAGTTAAAGCGGCTAGAAGAAGAGTTAAGATTAAAGGCAGAAATAGCTGTAAGTGATGCGAGAGCAAAGGTCATAGACGACTTTGAACAGTATGAATATGGGTCAGAGGTCAAGTTTAAACCTGACATTAAAACAAATGTAAGCACCCCTCTTAATGATGTTCTCACTGATATTAATGCTGTTAAACACGAGTGTATATACACCCAGCCACAGCGTGAGTTCAACACCTTATTAACTCCAAATAAATCATCATGTCAACAACCACTTGCATCCCCTAATCATGGAAATGGTAAGGTTGAAGTTGATGTTTTATCAAAACTTGCTGATTTGTTAGCTAGTAGACAAGATGATCTTCCTAGGAAGGAACCAGAAGTTTTTAGTGGCAACATATATGATTACCCAGCGTGGATACGATCCTTTGAGATCCTGATTGAAGATAGGAAACCGTTGGCCACAGATAGGTTGTATTACCTCAGAAAGTATACAAGTGGTGAGGCTAAAACAGCGGTACAAGGTCTACTGACTTTAGACACCACTGAGGCCTACATTAAGGCAAAACAAATCCTAGCTGAGCGCTATGGTAATCCACTGATGGTCGCTGACACCTACAGAAAGAAAATAAATGACTGGCCATACATCAAGTATGGTAACAGTATTGAGTTAAGGCGATTTTCTGATTTTCTTCAGCATTGTCAGTCTGCAATGAATACAGTTAACTACCTTGTGGTTCTGAATGATCCCGAAGAGCATAGAAAAATACTTCGAAAGCTACCAAAGTCAATAGGTGAAAAGTGGTTAAGAATTGTTGATGGCTGTTTGACCGATCCTCTAAACCAGTCATATCCTTCCTTCTCTCAGCTTTGTAGTTTCATTAGCAAAGAAGCACGTATAGCTTGCAGTCCATTGAATGTGAATTATGATGACAGCAAGACAGAAACAAAGACGAGAAGTGGTAAGAAATGGACAGCTACCCAGAGTTTGGCAACAGCAACAGGAGAAACAAAGAATACTCAAGGAGACTCAGCCACTCAGACTGGCTTCACTGGTAACCTGAAACGATGTGTATTGTGTAAAGGAACACATGATTTGGTGTACTGTAAGCAATTCCAAAGAATGACATTGAAAGATAGATACGCCACAGTGATAAAACATGGTTTATGTTTAGCCTGTTTTAAATGGGGACACAGAAGATGTGATTGCCGCAATAAGAAGATGTGTGATATCTGCAAGCGATTACACCCAACCCTTCTACATGACTACTCTTATAATGCCACCAGAGATCCAATAAATACTGAAGATGTCTCTGTTGATATGAGTCCTAGGTTGGAATGTGCCACTTCACACAGAGTCGAGATAGATCACCAGAGGGATTCCTCTTTACCATGTTCCCATTCTCTTATAATTCCTGTTTTCCTGCACCATAAGAGCGTACCTAACCAACAAGCCACTGTTTATGCTCTGTTGGATCCTCAGTCTGACTCTTGTTTTATTACAAAATCTATGATGGAGAAAATAGGCGTAAATGGTCCAAACATTCAAATAAAGTTATCAACGATGCTGGCCGAAAAGGTAATTGAGTGTAACAAGATAGATGGACTAGTTGTTATGAATATGGACCGTTCCATAAATATTGACTTACCAGCAGTCTTCTCTCGAGAATGTATACCTGCTAGTCACAGCCAAATTGCAAGGCCTGATACAGTTAGCAGATGGCCACATCTTAAGCAAGTTTCCAAGTATTTACCTCCTTTCAGAAAGGATATTGAGATTGGTCTTCTGATTGGTATGAATTGTCCTCGTGCTTTGAAACCCAGGGAGGTCATACCTGGTGATGATGATGATCCCTATGCAGTTAGAACCGATCTTGGCTGGGGCGTCATTGGTGTAATGAATAGTCCAGATTATGATCTGAGTAGCTACTGTCAAGTGATAAATACTGAAGGTAAAAGATGTCACTTCACCTACCGAACCCAAGTCAAGGAGATTAGCCCCTTACAGGTCAATAAAATGTTTGAGCAAGATTTCAACGAAAGGAAGTCTGAAGACAAGATATCTCTGGAGGATAGACAATTCCTACAAATTGTTACAGATGGAATTCACCAAAGAGAAGATGGCCATTTTGAAATGCCCCTCCCTTTCAGAGAACCTGAAATCAGTCTCCCTAATAACAGAGCTCAAGCAGAGAAACGTTTACAAAAGTTGAAGTACAGGTTACTAAAGGATGACCAGTTGAAGACAGACTATGTTGAATTCATGAGTAATATTATAGATAGTGGCTATGCTGAAGCAGCCCCTCATGATAAAGAACATGACAACGGTTTGAAATGGTACATCCCCCACCATGGTGTTTACAATTCCAACAAGCCAGGGAAGGTCCGAGTTGTGTTCGATTGTAGTGTTGAATATCAAGGACAAGTGCTTAATCATCACCTACTTCAGGGCCCAGACCTCTTAAATAACCTGACTGGTGTTCTGTGCCGTTTCCGAAAGGAACCTGTGGCAATTATATGTGACATTGAAGCCATGTTCATGCAGGTCGGTGTTGATATTAAGGATCGCAATTATTTGGGGTTTCTTTGGTGGAAAGATGGTGACCTAACCCAAGAACCTTCAGAATACAGAATGACTGTTCACTTGTTCGGTGCGACATCATCCCCAGCGTGTGCAAACTTTGCATTGAAAACTACTGCAGATGTTAATGGTGATGAATCTAATCTCGAAGCAGCAGATTTTGTGAGGAATGACTTTTACATGGATGATGGACTCAAGTCAGTTCCTGATCCCACCCAAGCTATCAATCTGATCGAAAGTTGCTCACAGTTGTGTGCCAAGGGAGGATTTAAGCTCCACAAATTTGCTAGTAATGATAAACGAGTTGTCGAGAATATCCCTGTTGATCTGAGAGCCAAGGATATTCAGAGCTTTGATATTTGTCATGATAATCTTCCAGTGGAAAGAGCACTTGGTGTGTATTGGTGTTTAGAGTCTGATACTTTTCAGTTTCGAATCGAGATAAAGGATAAACCCTTCACCCGCAGGGGTATATTGTCTACTGTTAGCTCGATTTTTGATCCCCTTGGTTTGGTCTCTCCAGTCTTGCTTATGGGGAAAAGGATTTTGCAAAGATTAACCAAGGATGGAATGGATTGGGATGATCCAGTCCCGGAAGATACAAGATCGCAATGGGAAAGGTGGAGGCATGAGTTGTCTCTTTTGGCTTGTCTCAAGGTGCCTAGGTGTTACAAGGGTGATGATATTGTTGAGCTTAGTACAGTTGAGATGCATCATTTTTCTGATGCTAGTCTTCTCGGCTATGGTCAGTGCAGTTACCTGAGGCTACAAGATAATCAGGGTAATGTTTCTTGTTCTTTAGTGATGGCCAAGTCTCGAGTAGTTCCTGTGAAACCAATCACCATACCAAGGTTAGAGCTTACAGCAGCAGTCACTTCTGTGTTGGTGAGTGAGTTCTTAAATAAGGAACTGAAGTATGATGGTATTTCTCATTTCTTTTGGTCAGACAGCAAGGTTGTATTAGGGTACATTGCAAATAAGTCTACCCGCTTTCACATATTTGTAGCCAATAGGGTACAGAAAATTCAAGATCATACACAGCCAAGTCAGTGGAGATATATTGAATCAAAGAAGAACCCAGCGGATATTGCTTCAAGAGGTTCCAGTGCAGATGATTTAATCCATAATTCTATCTGGTGGAAAGGTCCAGTACTTCTATCCACAGTAGAATCTCAGAGCTCTACATCGAAGACAGAGCCATTTATGCTTGATAATGCAGACCCAGAGATTAAGAAGACTGTATCAGTTCTGCATACAAGCACCATACCAGATGAATATGAAGATATGCTGAGTAGAGTAGAGTACTTTTCTGACTGGCATCGATTAAAGAGAGCCATAGCAGTTTGTCTAAGATTTAAACAGAGGTTAATGAACCACACGATTTCAAAACCGAAAGTACACTTGATGAATTCAGCAACGATTAAACAAAACTACATTCCCGTGAATGTGGATGAGATGCAACAGGCTGAAAAGCTGATTATCAAAATGGTACAGAGCAGAGACTTTGCCGATGAGTTACAGACGTTGAGACAGAGTTCAAGAATTACAAGTCCTGCCAGGGAGAATTCTAGATCAGTACCAACTGTGAAGAAGACAAGCTCATTATTCCGACTAGATCCCTACCTAGATGAGGAGGGAATTATACGTGTAGGAGGAAGGATTCGTAGAGCTAACCTTCCAAAGGATGTTGCCCACCCTATTCTACTTCCTAAGAAGGGGCATGTTACAAAGGTCTTAATATTACATTACCATGAGAAAATCGGTCATTCAGGCACTGGAATGACGCTTAATGAGATACGAGCTTATGGTTATTGGATAGTAGCGTCTAGGGCAAGCGTAGGAAGTGTTGTTTGGAAATGTGTAACTTGTAGAAAGTTGCGTGGGTTGTTGTCGGGTCAGAAAATGTCTGACTTACCAGTTGATAGGCTAGAGACTGTCGCCCCCTTTACATATAGCGCTGTTGATTGCTTTGGCCCATTCTTTGTTAAAGATGGTAGACGTGAGTTGAAACGTTATGGAGTATTGTTCACTTGTTTAAATTCACGAGCAGTTCATATAGAGGTAGCAAATTCTCTTAGTACTGATTCCTTTTTGAACGCACTTCGCCGTTTTGTTGGTCGCCGAGGTCCAGTGCGTCAACTCAGAAGTGATCAAGGCACCAATTTTGTTGGAGCTAAAGGTGCCCTGGCTGCAGCGTTAGCAGAGATGGATGACAGTAAGATCAGTAGAGAGTTGTTAAAGGACAACTGTGACTGGATAGCCTTCAAAATGAATTCCCCACATTCGAGTCACATGGGAGGAGTGTGGGAAAGGATGATTCGGTCAGCTCGGAATGCATTATCCGCACTTCTATCTGTTCATGGTCATCAATTGGATGATGAGTTGTTGAGAACATTAATGGTAGAAGCCGAGGCTATTGTGAATAGCCGTCCCCTCAGTTATGACGATATGACCAAGACAAGTTCTCTACAACCCCTTTCTCCTAGTCAGATACTAACGCTGAAATCGAAGGTTGTTTCACCTCCCCCTGGAGTTTTCCAGAAAGCAGATCTTTTCTGTAGACAGCGTTGGAGATGTGTCCAGTATCTATCTAATGAGTTCTGGAGACGATGGAGAGTCGAATTTCTACCAACCCTACAACAGAGATCTAAATGGATGAAGTCCCAACCAAACCTACAAGAAGGTGATATCGTCCTGATGTTGGATGAGAGTTTACCAAGATATCAATGGCCAATGGCCAGAGTAATTGAGACGTTCGTGGGACAAGACGGACTTGTTCGAAGAGTTAGGCTGATTGCTAAAGGTTCTGTGTACGATAGACCTGTACACAAGTTAATATTGTTACTAAAAGGGGAAATCCCCGTCGAGAAGCCATAGTTATTATATTTAATTAGATATCATTGGATAAATGGTAAATTGTTACCAATTTAGGGGAGCCATGTAACTCCTGCGGAGTGATGTCTATTTGTTTTGCGCATTGGCGCTGTTTAAGTGCTGTTTTACCTTCTGGTGCATAGCGCCCTCTGGGGTTGAAGGTCTCCAGCGAAGATTAAATAGTTATGACGCAGTTGTAATGTGCGTCCACTTTCTCTAGTTTTTCATGACTATTAGCTGTGACCCGGAAACGAGGTATGATTTTATAGTTTTTTGAACATACACCGATTTCAGTCGATATGATTTTGTGTAATTTTGAAGTCTTTTGCAAGAGAAATCGAGAGTTTTCTGATCGTGAACCCGAGTGGTATAAAATGGTCGTGTTGTGTTGGTCTGACCTATGACCCCAATTCGTTCACACTTGTATTAGACGTTGATGGCGTTTTACCGCACTATCTCATTCAAAATAATATGTTATTGTATTTGTGTACTTAAGATTGTTATTGTTTTATTTTGCTTCACAGTTTTACGTGATTGTGATTGTGATTGTGATTGCCAATGTGAACTGTGATTAAGGACCACATGACTGATTTATCGTGATTCATGTGAATAAGTTGAACACAGTGAAGAGTGAATAAAACGATATATTGGTGATATAGAACTGAGTGACTTGTCAATATCTTAATCGACACTCATCATATAACACAGTAAAACTCGCCGTTGGACTATTGAAAGTCATGGCAAGTGGAAAAGACACGCAATATGTGAGTAGATTTGGTAGGCCCGTAAGGATGACAGAGAAGGGCTTCCAGTATGAATCCCAACAGAAACAGAAATTATACGAGACATCTTATAACCAGCTACACCTTAAGATGGATGAAATTTATAGGATGCTGAATGCTAAAGAGAATGCCAGGTTGGTACATAGGCATTATAGGAAGTGGTTACTACTGTCAGAACGGTTCAGTCTCTCTGAACAGAAATACAGAGAGTTGTTAAGTGAGAGTGAATTGCCTCAACATGATCAATTATTTTCTGAGCAAAGAGAAAATATGGAGATGTTTAAAACTGCTGTACAAGAATACCTGGCCGCATTTGAAGAAGTTAGTTCCTTCACAGAGGATGATGAAAAGTGTGACTCGCTTTCTCAGACAAGCAGGTGTGGTAGTCTCTCATCCTTGCAGTCTAACACCAGTCTAATGAGACTAAAAGAAGAACAACGTAAAGCTGAGTTAGCCGCAAGAATGGCGGCATCACAAGAAAGACACAAGTTAGATATAGAAAAACAAAGATTGGCAAATGAAACTGAATTATCTCGATTGGAGTTAAAGCGGCTAGAAGAAGAGTTAAGATTAAAGGCAGAAATAGCTGTAAGTGATGCGAGAGCAAAGGTCATAGACGACTTTGAACAGTATGAATATGGGTCAGAGGTCAAGTTTAAACCTGACATTAAAACAAATGTAAGCACCCCTCTTAATGATGTTCTCACTGATATTAATGCTGTTAAACACGAGTGTATATACACCCAGCCACAGCGTGAGTTCAACACCTTATTAACTCCAAATAAATCATCATGTCAACAACCACTTGCACCCCCTAATCATGGAAATGGTAAGGTTGAAGTTGATGTTTTATCAAAACTTGCTGATTTGTTAACTAGTAGACAAGATGATCTTCCTAGGAAGGAACCAGAAGTTTTTAGTGGCAACATATATGATTACCCAGCGTGGATACGATCCTTTGAGATCCTGATTGAAGATAGGAAACCGTTGGCCACAGATAGGTTGTATTACCTCAGAAAGTATACAAGTGGTGAGGCTAAAACAGCGGTACAAGGTCTACTGACGTTAGACACCACTGAGGCCTACATTAAGGCAAAACAAATCCTAGCTGAGCGCTATGGTAATCCACTGATGGTCGCTGACACCTACAGAAAGAAAATAAATGACTGGCCATACATCAAGTATGGTAACAGTATTGAGTTAAGGCGATTTTCTGATTTTCTTCAGCATTGTCAGTCTGCAATGAATACAGTTAACTACCTTGTGGTTCTGAATGATCCCGAAGAGCATAGAAAAATACTTCGAAAGCTACCAAAGTCAATAGGTGAAAAGTGGTTAAGAATTGTTGATGGCTGTTTGACCGATCCTCTAAACCAGTCATATCCTTCCTTCTCTCAGCTTTGTAGTTTCATTAGCAAAGAAGCACGTATAGCTTGCAGTCCATTGAATGTGAATTATGATGACAGCAAGACAGAAACAAAGACGAGAAGTGGTAAGAAATGGACAGCTACTAAGAGTTTGGCAACAGCAACAGGAGAAACAAAGAATACTCAAGGAGACTCAGCCACTCAGACTGGCTTCACTGGTAACCTGAAACGATGTGTATTGTGTAAAGGAACACATGATTTGGTGTACTGTAAGCAATTCCAAAGAATGACATTGAAAGATAGATACGCCACAGTGATAAAACATGGTTTATGTTTAGCCTGTTTTAAATGGGGACACAGAAGATGTGATTGCCGAAATAAGAAGATGTGTGATATCTGCAAGCGATTACACCCAACCCTTCTACATGACTACTCTTATAATGCCACCAGAGATCCAATAAATACTGAAGATGTCTCTGTTGATATGAGTCCTAGGTTGGAATGTGCCACTTCACACAGAGTCGAGATAGATCACCAGAGGGATTCCTCTTTACCATGTTCCCATTCTCTTATAATTCCTGTTTTCCTGCACCATAAGAGCGTACCTAACCAACAAGCCACTGTTTATGCTCTGTTGGATCCTCAGTCTGACTCTTGTTTTATTACAAAATCTATGATGGAGAAGATAGGCGTAAATGGTCCAAACATTCAAATAAAGTTATCAACGATGCTGGCCGAAAAGGTAATTGAGTGTAACAAGATAGATGGACTAGTTGTTATGAATATGGACCGTTCCATAAATATTGCCTTACCAGCAGTCTTCTCTCGAGAATGTATACCTGCCAGTCACAGCCAAATTGCAAGGCCTGATACAGTCAGCAGATGGCCACATCTTATGCAAGTTTCCAAGTATTTACCTCCTTTCAGAAAGGATATTGAGATTGGTCTTCTGATTGGTATGAATTGTCCTCGTGCTTTGAAACCCAGGGAGGTCATACCTGGCGATGATGACGATCCCTATGCAGTTAGAACCGATCTTGGCTGGGGCGTCATTGGTGTAATGAATAGTCCAGATTATGATCTGAGTAGCTACTGTCAAGTGATAAACACTGAAGGTAAAATATGTCACTTCACCTACCGAACCCAAGTCAAGGAGATTAGCCCCTTACAGGTCAATAAAATGTTTGAGCAAGATTTCAACGAAAGGAAGTCTGAAGACAAGATATCTCTGGCGGATAGACAATTCCTACAAATTGTTACAGATGGAATTCACCAAAGAGAAGATGGCCATTTTGAAATGCCCCTCCCATTCAGAGAACCTGAAATCAGTCTCCCTAATAACAGAGCTCAAGCAGAGAAACGTTTACAAAGGTTGAAGTACAGGTTACTAAAGGATGACCAGTTGAAGACAGACTATGTTGAATTCATGAGTAATATTATAGATAGTGGTTATGCTGAAGCAGCCCCTCATGATAAAGAACATGATAACGATTTGAAATGATACATCCCCCACCATGGTGTTTACAATCCCAACAAGCCAGGGAAGGTCCGAGTTGTGTTCGATTGTAGTGTTGAATATCAAGGACAAGTGCTTAATCATCACCTACTTCAGGGCCCAGACCTCTTAAATAACCTGACTGGTGTTCTGTGCCATTTCCGAAAGGAACCTGTGGCAATTATATGTGACATTGAAGCCATGTTCATGCAGGTCGGTGTTGATATTAAGGATCGCAATTATTTGGGGTTTCTTTGGTGGAAAGATGGTGACCTAACCCAAGAACCTTCAGAATACAGAATGACTGTTCACTTGTTCGGTGCGACATCATCCCCAGCATGTGCAAACTTTGCATTGAAAACTACTGCAGATGTTAATGGTGATGAATCTAATCTAGAAGCAGCAGATTTTGTGAGGAATGACTTTTACATGGATGATGGACTCAAGTCAGTTCCTGATCCCACCCAAGCTATCAATCTGATCGAAAGTTGCTCACAGTTGTGTGCCAAGGGAGGATTTAAGCTCCACAAATTTGCTAGTAATGATAAACGAGTTGTCGAGAATATCCCTGTTGATCTGAGAGCCAAGGATATTCAGAGCTTTGATATTTGTCATGATAATCTTCCAGTGGAAAGAGCACTTGGTGTGTATTGGTGTTTAGAGTCTGATACTTTTCAGTTTCGAATCAAGATAAAGGATAAACCCTTCACCCGCAGGGGTATATTGTCTACTGTTAGCTCGATTTTTGATCCCCTTGGTTTGGTCTCTCCAGTTTTGCTTATGGGGAAAAGGATTTTGCAAAGATTAACCAAGGATGGAATGGATTGGGATGATCCAGTCCCGGAAGATACAAGATCGCAATGGGAAAGGTGGAGGCATGAGTTGTCTCTTTTGGCTTGTCTCAAGGTGCCTAGGTGTTACAAAGGTGATGATATTGTTGAGCTTAGTACAGTTGAGATGCATCATTTTTCTGATGCTAGTCTTCTTGGCTATGGTCAGTGCAGTTACCTGAGGCTACAAGATAATCAGGGTAATGTTTCTTGTTCTTTAGTGATGGCCAAGTCTCGAGTAGTTCCTGTGAAACCAATCACCATACCAAGGTTAGAGCTTACGGCAGCAGTCACTTCTGTGTTGGTGAGTGAGTTCTTAAATAAGGAACTGAAGTATGATGGTATTTCTCATTTCTTTTGGTCAGACAGCAAGGTTGTATTAGGGTACATTGCAAATAAGTCTACCCGCTTTCACATATTTGTAGCCAATAGGGTACAGAAAATTCAAGATCATACACAGCCAAGTCAGTGGAGATATATTGAATCAAAGAAGAACCCAGCGGATATTGCTTCAAGAGGTTCCAGTGCAGATGATTTAATCCATAATTCTATCTGGTGGAAAGGTTCAGTACTTCTATCCACAGTAGAATCTCAGAGCTCTACATCGAAGACAGAGCCATTTATGCTTGATAATGCAGACCCAGAGATTAAGAAGACGGTATCAGTTCTGCATACAAGCACCATACCAGATGAATATGAAGATATGCTGAGTAGAGTAGAGTACTTTTCTGACTGGCATCGATTAAAGAGAGCCATAGCAGTTTGTCTAAGATTTAAACAGAGGTTAATGAACCACAAGATTTCAAAACCGAAAGTACACTTGATGAATTCAGCAACGATTAAACAAAACTACATTCCCGTGAATGTGGATGAGATGCAACAGGCTGAAAAGCCGATTATCAAAATGGTACAGAGCAGAGACTTTGCCGATGAGTTACAGACGTTGAGACAGAGTTCAAGAATTACAAGTCCTGCCAGGGAGAATTCTAGATCAGTACCAACTGTGAAGAAGACAAGCTCATTATTCCGACTAGATCCCTACCTAGATGAGGAGGGAATTATACGTGTAGGAGGAAGGATTCGTAGAGCTAACCTTCCAAAGGATGTTGCCCACCCTATTCTACTTCCTAAGAAGGGGCATGTTACAAAGGTCTTAATATTACATTACCATGAGAAAATCGGTCATTCAGGCACTGGAATGACGCTTAATGAGATACGAGCTTATGGTTATTGGATAGTAGCGTCTAGGGCAAGCGTAGGAAGTGTTGTTTGGAAATGTTTTACTTTGTAGAAAGTTGCGTGGGTTGTTGTCGGGTCAGAAAATGTCTGACTTGCCAGTTGATAGGCTAGAGACTGTCGCCCCCTTTACATATAGCGCTGTTGATTGCTTCGGCCCATTCTTTGTTAAAGATGGTAGATGTGAGTTGAAACGTTATGGAGTATTGTTCACTTGTTTAAATTCACGAGCAGTTCATATAGAGGTAGCAAATTCTCTTAGTACTGATTCCTTTTTGAACGCACTTTGTCGTTTTGTTGGTCGCCGAGGTCCAGTGCGTCAACTCAGAAGTGATCAAGGCACCAATTTTGTTGGAGCTAAAGGTGCCCTGGCTGCAGCGTTAGGAGAGATGGATGACAGTAAGATCAGTAGAGAGTTGTTAAAGGACAACTGTGACTGGATAGCCTTCAAAATGAATTCCCCACATTCGAGTCACATGGGAGGAGTGTGGGAAAGGATGATTCGGTCAGCTCGGAATGCATTATCCGCACTTCTATCTGTTCATGGTCATCAATTGGATGATGAGTTGTTGAGAACATTAATGGTAGAAGCCGAGGCTATTATGAATAGCCGTCGCCTCAGTTATGACGATATGACCAAGACAAGTTCTCTACAACCCCTTTCTCCTAGTCAGATACTAACGCTGAAATCGAAGGTTGTTTCACCTCCCCCTGGAGTTTTCCAGAAAGCAGATGTTTTCTGTAGACAGCGTTGGAGATGTGTCCAGTATCTATCTAATGAGTTCTGGAGACGATGGAGAGTCGAATTTCTACCAACCCTACAACAGAGATCTAAATGGATGAAGTCCCAACCAAACCTACAAGAAGGTGATATCGTCCTGATGTTGGATGAGAGTTTACCAAGATATTAATGGCCAATGGCCAGAGTAATTGAGACGTTCGTGGGACAAGACGGACTTGTTCGAAGAGTTAGGCTGATTGCTAAAGGTTCTGTGTACGATAGACCTGTACACAAGTTAATATTGTTACTAACAGGGGAAATCCCCGTTGAGAAGCCATAGTTATATTTAATTAGATATCATTGGATAAATGGTAAATTGTTACCAATTTAGGGGAGCCATGTAACTCCTGCGGAGTGATGTCTATTCGTTTTGCGCTTTGGCGCTGTTTAAGTGCTGTTTTACCTTCTGGTGCATAGCGCCCTCTGGGGTTGAAGGTCTCCAGCGAAGATTAAATAGTTATGACGCAGTTGTAATGTGCGTCCACTTTCTCTAGTTTTTCATGACTATTAGCTGTGACCCGGAAACGAGGTATGATTTTATAGTTTTTTGAACATACACCGATTTCAGTCGATATGATTTTGTGTAATTTTGAAGTCTTTTGCAAGAGAAATCGAGAGTTTTCTGATCGTGAACCCGAGTGGTATAAAATGGTCGTGTCGTGTTGTGTTGGTCTGACCTATGACCCCAATTCGTTCGCACTTGTATTAGCTGTTGATGGCGTTTTACCGCACTATCTCATTCAAAATAATATGTTATTGTATTTGTGTACTTAAGATTGTTATTGTTTTATTTTGCTTCACAGTTTTACGTGATTGTGATTGCCAATGTGAACTGTGATTAAGGATCACATGACTGATTTATCGTGATTCATGTGAATAAGTTGAACACAGTGAAGAGTGAATAAAACGATATATTGGTGATATAGAACTGAGTGACTTGTCAATATCTTAATCGACACTCA